GGAGGAGAGTAAAGGAAAAAGACCAAAGTGAGAGATGGGTTACTTCATAGACGTAAGTAAACGGTCTTTACTTGCCTTACCTAGAGGTTAACTTTTTTAGCAGTGGGTACTCAAATATACACACAAAAAGAGGCTGACGTGAAATATTACACAGAGATGCAAATAGCACACTAAAAACTTATTTAACTAAGACTTCCAATCATACTCATACCCATGAGTTTATGCTAGACTCTCAAATAAAGTTAACATGCTGCCATGAAAAAAAAACAGAATTTCAAAGATTGTGTATTCAAGAGAATCTTACACATTGACCAAAGAAATCTCCCACAGGCAGATACGACTCAGAAGGCAATTACAGATCATACAAATAGAACCAACAATTACTTAATTACCCTCCTTAAATTAAAACACAATTCAGTCCTTTACAATTGATATCAACATCAAGTGACTCTGTGGCCAGAGAGAGAAGTACATTGAACACTGCCTTCTCACAAAGGGAAGCATACAATTCAATCAGTTATTACCACACACGGCAACCACTCAAGTAGAGCTGAAGTTGCTAGTCTATGTTTAAAACAGCATTTCCGAATATATTTTCAAACTAAATAACCAAACCAAGTACACAGAATTATAAAAAAAAGATACACTGGCAAAAGTACTAAAAGTCTGTATGAATTTCAGCAAACAAGTATGGTTGATTCCAGCGGCTGCTATAGGCTTAATATTCACGCTACTTGGCAAATGTTCTGCTGTGGCAAGAGCATCCTCTTTGGAGGCCCCTGCACATGCGGCGTGTCGCTGGCATCACCTGACTATTCCTACAGGGACAACCAGGTCTTGGTTGCACAGACTCATTTGGAACCATAGTCAAAAACAACACAAAGCTTCCACTCCTACAAGGTCTGGAACAATTCACAATGTAACATGAAATATTTAGAACAAAATTTTTAAATATTGGAAATTATATTAACCATGTTTGAAATGTTTAGAGCCGTAATAAGAAAACACTGATTTGCACATTCTGACAAGTTGGACTCTTACAATCAATGTAATGAACGTCTGATTGATACACTTTCAATTAATAACAAACACCAGAATTGAATTTTTGCTTACTTTGGGCTGAAACAAAATGTAATTATGGTCTTTTGATAAGGTAGCAACCTCCCTTCATTAGGAATACAGGAGATATAAGTGGTAACATCTATGTTCTTTATTTGCCTTAAGTAAGGGAGATTATTTAAAGCAACATCTGTTTTTTGTTGAATATTAGTACCCTGTAATATAAAATCAGAAATACAAAGAATATTAAGGCAGAACACAAATAAAATATTTCAAGAGGAGATCATTAAATAATTATTGAAATTTTAGTATGGAAGATCAAGAATATGTAGGTCTTTAACATATATAAATTTGACCAAGGCACATTATAAAATTCTAAAACCTGTTAAAAAATTCATGAGAACAGAAATCCCACAACCAGCTACTAATCTATAAGAAGCAGTTGTCTGGTGCACTTCAGATATATATTACTATCAATGTTAGTTTAATTTACAGAATTGTTTGAGGTTATCCTTGAAGACACATGAAAGGGAATCCTATCGATCTGCACATTAAAACATACTTAGAACAATTTAACAGCTTTTTGGTTATTAGTAAGTTCAAAACAATGTTTCAAAACATAATGCCCGATCTTCCCCTGTTACACTGTTTACTTACCAGTTCTTCTCCAACTGAATCATCGTGTATTATGGCCACCCAATTTATGGGTTCTGGGTTATTATTGTACAGAAGTGCATGTTCAATTTTTGAAGTTCCGAAGAAAACAGAACCAAAGTGTATGCATTCCAACTTCTTGTCACCACTCATGTTTAGCAATTCAATAATCTGCTCAACCACATGAGCTTTGACCCTCAGGAGCATATCTGGACGACCTTGCAAACTTACTCTACAAGATAATAAATTATACATGTATATCTTAAGTAGAATTTTATTTATTTTTTTTTTATTTTTTTTTCAACGTTTATTTATTTTGGGACAGAGAGAGACAGAGCATGAACGGGGGAGGGGCAGAGAGAGAGGGAGACACAGAATCAGAAACAGGCTCCAGGCTCGGAGCCATCAGCCCAGAGCCCGACGCGGGGCTCGAACTCACGGACCGCGAGATTGTGACCTGGCTGAAGTCGGACGCTTAACCGACTGCGCCACCCAGGCGCCCCAATTAAGTAGAATTTTATATACTTAATTTTTCTCCTAAGTATTTGGATCAACAGAAATTTTATAAAATCACATTATAATTAAAATTCAAAGGCTTAAGAGCAGTTCCTTTCACATACATGCCAGAGAATGTCATGTCCTTCTGTCTGAATCTGCACAGTAGAACGGCATACATACAACCTAATTCATTGTCCCCAAGAAACAAGAGAGTTGGAAAATAATCATATGAATTGACTCCAAAAAAGGACTGCAAGGTCCATATCACCAATTATTTCATAAACACTAGAATTAGATGGGATGATTTAGATGTCCACCTATAGTTCTAGAATTCTGAGATTCTTTTCTAATTCATCCCACTCTCCCAAGTCCAACAGCCAACCTCATCCCCATCCTAATAACCCAATTCTCTATGAAGCAAAGTAAGTCAGCAAAATCCCACTTGTTTGCTGAAATGAAGATCCCGCCATAAAGCTTCACTTCCCAGACTGATTTCAATTCCCTTTTGAAACAGCCCACACATGCACATTTATCCCCCTCTGGCATAAATGCAATCTTCTTAACTCTCATCCCATCAAATACCTCAAATAACTGACCACTCCACAATCATCACTCAAGTCCTTATCTTACACTACATCTCCATCACGTTGGCGGTGGCTGATACCATCTATGCACATCTCTCCTCCCTTAGCTTCCTTGACGCCATACTTTGCCAGTTTCCTTCTAACTTATTCAGTCTTTATCTTTTCATTCTCCTAAGACTTGGATATTTTATATATTCCATGAATAATGGTGTCTCTCTCCCACTCTTTTATACTCTATCCTCCTTGTCAAAGTTGTTTTCGACTTCATGCTTCATCTACAATTTATCCACTGACAATCTTTAAGCCAATATACCTAGACCAAATTGCTTCTGGGACTCAAGGTAGGTAAATCTAATAGGCGCCACAGGATTCTGCAAAGCAAATTAACTCCCACATTTTAAACCTGAACTCAAGATCCCCTCCCACAGACCTGTCCTTCCCCTTACCTTCCCTTTCTATAACCAGTCACTACATCTAGTTAAATCTGCCTCCATAATATTTCTCCAATCTGCACACTTCTCTCCATATGCCTGATTTGTACCTTAGCTGAGGTCTTCATTACTTCCCTTCTGCTGTACTATTACAGTTTCTAGTCAGGCTACCCCTCCACATATGTACTCCCTGATTTGTTGTGTCCACTGTTATCAGCACAACCTTTCTAAATTGCAAACTAATCACCACACTCCCATCTTAAAATCTTCCTGAGATTCCACAGCCTTCACAATAAAACCTAAGCTTCTATCAGGGCTCACAGATGTTTCTCGAACTTTTGTTTGGCTGTGACCTCCAGCAAGACATGTACTTACACTACAAGCACACACACATGTACACACATGCATACACAGGCACACACACACACACACACACCCAAAACAAGTTTTGCAAAACATTTGCCCTTACTATATGACATGCATTCTGCTATTTTCTATTTCACTGTTTTGATACTGGTGGTGACCCATTATAGTGATTGTACATGCCACTAATGGACTGAGACATACAGCATTAAAAAATGCTGTCCTATGAGGTCCTTCACCAGACCCTGCACCATTCTGGTCTCATCTCACATCACTCCTCACCTCCATCTCTGCCTTTACATTGCCTCAGCTCTCTCAGTGTCTAACATCTATTCACCTCCAAGATTTCAAGTCTTCTACTTGCTCTGTCTGAAATTACTCTTCTAACCCAACCCCATCACCAATACCCACCGCCCCTATACGTGCATGCACGCACGCACACGCGCGCACACACACACACACACACACACTCAGCTCAGATCACACCACTGCTCTCTGCCTGGCTACTTCCTACTCACCAATACTTCTTTGGGTATGCTATCACATCCTTACTGGAGCCCTTTCCTGATCTACTCCTTCACCCCCATAAAATCCAAACCAGGAGCCCCTGTTATGTGTACCCATAGGCCATCCTCTGGCTCTTCCCATTTTTGAGTCTCCCGTGCTTGGCAAACAGTCGAGACTCAATGAACAAATGTTGACTGAAAGAACAAAGAAGCTAACGCACATTCAAGACAGTAGGCATATCTGAAGAGTAAAAAAGGAAAGTATTAAGTACTACATTAGAATTAAGAACCATGGTATACTTACTTTGCCACTTCATTTACAATTCTGGGCTGGTCTGCACACAAATCAACTTTAACAATCACTGATGACTTGGACTCCACAACACCATTACTTGGAAAAATGACAATGGGCAATTGGCCCTGGTATTCTGTTTTAAATGTACCTAAGGAGAACAAGAGCAGATGGTTTACATCTGGATCCATACAGTGTTACATTCACATTCTTAATAAGGGTCAGATATACATTACAGAGTATACAGTCTATCGTGGACCAAGAATCACAGCTTTAATTGTAAGTTTAGTCTCTGGGGTCACCCAACAGATGTGAACTGATTGTTAGGACTCAAGCCTCATTGGTAGTTAAAATATACTGTCTGCTTACAAAGTCCAGACACTTATGGTAAGAATTTTGTATATGTTAGTCTGTATAATCCTCAGAGTGCTTCTGTGATATAGGTTTAATCATTAACTCCATTTTATAAATAAGGAAACAGAAGCTTAGACTGGTTGAATGATTTATCCAAAGACACAAGTATTATGGTAGATTAAACTGCTGACCTCAATTCTTGACCTTTCTCTGCATCTTACCATTACACTACCATGGACAAAATATGTTTTCCTACTCCTTGATGTTGGGCCTGATGATGCAATTTGCTTTGGCCAATAGCATGTGGGTAGAAGGGACAACATGCCATCTCCAATCCCATATGTTCTCTTGCACTTCTACCGTGTAAAGTACTTAAGTAGCTACTGTCCCTATGGCCTGTGCTTCACAATGAGTACATGTGGAGCAGAGCCCCCAGCTGACTCACAGACTTGCAGTAACAGAACATTCCTGACTGCCTAGGTTTGAAGCAGAGCTACCCAGCAGAGCACAGCTTAGATGAGTTGAATTCTAGCCATTCTGCATATAAATAAACAATTAAAAACTAATTGCCTTTTTAAGATACAGAATTATGGGGTGGTTTGTTACATAGCGATAGCTGACTACTACAGTTAGAAACTAATAGAGCTTGGATTTTCACTTGGATGCTTCTGACCTAAGGGCTCACACTCGTAGCCATTGTCAGTTGTTGTTGTTGTTGTTTTTAAGATTTGTTTATTTAAATAATCTCTGCACCCAATGTGGGGCTCGAACTCACAATCCCCAGATCAAGAGTCACATGCTCCACTGACTCAGCCACCCAGGCACCCCATCACTTTTTGATAAATGAATTCATGCAGTTCACACAGGGAAAGAGTAAAAGGAATGTGTTTCTAAGAATCAAATAGCATATGAGAAGGAAGTTACAAATACGTCTTATTCTCTTATTCTGAAAACAGAAACAGTGAATAATTTGTAGTAATGTTTAGTGCGTGTATTAGAGCATGCGGTCCTTGAGATCACACATTATGTCTTCCTCATCTCTGTGGTCATAGCATTGCACACAGTGCCTAGCACCAAGTGGAGCGCTCAAAATATGCCCAACAAATGAAGTAGCCAGTCATGTTTCCTTAATGTGCAATATAAATATTATACAATATAAACACAAATGAGCATGCTGCTAACATGAACAACTTGGCAAATTCCCAAATTACCAATTTTAAATCACATTTGATGAAATTTTCAAAAATGATTCATTTACCTTAGGAAAATAAAATATTAGCATCATAAAAGTACTGAAAATATAAGAAAGGTAATAAAACTTTTTTAAGTACAGAGATGATCTGATAGAAAAGGCAAACAAACTCACAGTAACAAAATTTGTTAATCCAGTCACTTCAGACAAGTGCTAATAACAATCTTTAAGGGTGTTTTTTTTCTGTCATAAAACAAAAATTTATAAAATTATATCTGTTTCAAATAAATAAGTATTATTGACTCAATTCTCCAGAAAAGGCAAATTATGTGAGTCCAGGTAAGGCTGAGTCAGTGAGATAGTTCCTATATTGTAACTACTTTGATATAATTTGACAAAAGAATTTTAAGTATTTCAAAAGTTTATTTTAGGAACAACCCGAAACTGAAAGAACATTGTTCAGTCTTCTAAATATATTAAAAGAGTGGCTACACAAACACTAATGCGTCTTATATAACTTTAACACCACTAGTAATAATGAAATATTTGACTTTTATTTTTAAAAAACTAACAATAAAAGGACATCAGCTTAAAGGAAGGGTGTCATTGAAGAAAGGATGTTACAAAAGGAATTTCTGTCATCAAATTCTCATTTCTTGTTAGATAGAACCCTGGCTGATGTTCGGAGAATGAACTAGGAGATAAGGGATTTCAGAGAAATCATTTCAGTTGGTTTGATTACTAAGCAAAAGATGATGATGGCCTGTTGTAGACAAGTGAGGATGCACCAGAAAAAAGAGGATTACTGAGGTAATTAGGAAGTGAAGAAACAGGATTGAGTAACTGACTAAGGGGGTAGGAGGAGAAAAAAAGGAAGAGGTCAAGGATTTTGTTAACTTTCTGACAGGCCCAAGTACATGGTGGTGACATTTAATTAAGAAAAAGAGATATAGGGGCACCTGGGTGGCGCAGTCGGTTAAGCGTCCGACTTCAGCCAGGTCACGATCTCGCGGTCCGCGAGTTTGAGCCCCACATCAGGCTCTGGGCTGATGGCTCGGAGCCTGGAGCCTGTTTCTGATTCTGTGTCTCCCTCTCTCTTTGCCCCTCCCCCGTTCATGCTCTGTCTCTCTCTGTCCCAAAAATAAATAAAAACGTTGAAAAAAAAAATTTTTTTTAAAAAGAAAAAGAGATAGAGAGAGAGAGAAGTTTTGGGGGAAAGGCGAGGAGTTTGGTTTTAGATGTGTTAAGTGTGAGAAACCTGAAGGAAATGTAAAGTGTGGGATAGAGCCCAGTGAGGTAACAGGAATGAGAGTGATTGCCTAAGGGAGAGCGTATAGACTGAAGTAACATGTGGGTGGGCCTAAGGCAAACCCTAAGAAACACTCACATTTAAGGAACCCAAAACAAAGGGACAGCAATCCACAAAAGAGAACTGAAGGGAGGCAGTAGGAAAAAAAATAATTCTAACATCAAAATCGAACATTTATTGAACACTTAATATATATCGGAGAGTGTACTAAGTATTTTATCAATTACCTTCCCAATTGTAGGAGGCAGGCACTATGTTTATCTCTACAATGGATGTCCAGGAAGTGTAAATACTTGCCTAGGGCCTCCTAGCCAGTAAATGTTATAAGCAAGATTTGGGCCCTGGAAGACCTCACTCCAGAACCTGAACCTCCATTTTATATAAGCCAGCGAGGAGCCATAGAAGCCAAAGTTTTGGCTTTTGTGTTTTGTTTTGTTTTTTCAAGACACCAGGGGCCAACTGTCTGAAATGTTGCTATTTAAGTCATGTAAAATAAACACTTAGCCTTGTCCACTGATGTGATTTAGGGAAGCACATGGCCTGCGAGGCTACCTACAGCTGGGACTGAGATGACGGTCCTTTGAACAGATCTGTGTTTTTTGAATGAGACTTGCTTTACCTTCTCTAGAGAAGGTGATTAAGTATACATGGTTACCTTGCCTTTATCCTTCCAAAATACTTTTAGAAACTATAAAGTAGATTTTCATGTAAAAGTATTTTTAAGATCAAGCCAGGGCACACAGTCTAGTTTTATAGGATGCTAACCAAAAATCAAGAGTCACATACCCAAGGTCATTGTTATTTCTTATGTATGCTTTTTTTTTTTTTTTTTTTTTTTTTTAAGGCTTCCTTGGGTCTAAGCGTACCAAGGATAAACCAGTCTCCATGTCTCCAGATGACTGTTTTGGAGACTCTTCAGAATGCTCATAGGAGATTAAGCAGGTTACTTCTAAGTTGAATAACCTTTCATTGAAAGCTTAACAGTTTATTTTTATTTTTATTTTATTTTATTTATTTATTCATTTATTTTTGAGAGCGAGATAGAGAGCACAAGTGAGTGAGGGGCAGAGAGAAAGGAATAGAGAATCCCACGAGGTGCAGAGATGGAGAGAGAGAGACAGTATGGAGCCCAGAGTGCGACTTGAGCTCACCTGAAGTGGGACTCGAACTCACGAACTATGAGATCGAGACCTGAGCCGAAGTCAGATGCTTAAACGACTGAGCCACCCAGACGCCCCTGTTTTTTTATGTACTAAAATGGCAAATCATTTTTTTCTTTTATAATATCCTGGTCAAATTATTTTTAAAGAATTTTTTTATTCAAGTACAGTTGACATACAATTAACGATTCTTTACTCATACTGAGAGGTCACTGAACCAAATCAATTACACAAAGGTTTACTGAATGTCTGTGATATACCCAGCATTGTATTATGTAAGAAACTTATACTGCGATTCCATGACATCAGTTTCCAAGAAAACAAACAATATGTGTTGAGAATAAGTAGTGTGTGTTTCTCTGAGTAGTTAAGGAGGATCTCAAGGACCAGTACTGGACTTTGTCCAATTTAGCAAATTTCCTGGTTTACAGATGATGGTAGGCTTTTCTAGACAATAAAGAGTAGAGAGATGATGCTAATGATCAGGGAAAGGGGAAGAGTGGGCATTAAGAGCAACAGAAAGGTCATATAGCTAGGGCAAAATAACCCAAGTAAACCTAAAGTTTGAGGAGTTCTAAGGTAGCTGTTCAAACACAGAAATGGTATGTGAAGATCACACTAGGGACTTTAAAGACTGTTCTACATGATACCACGGGAGTAGAAAATGTCTTTGCAAATATTCAAGCTTACTGAGGGGAAAAGGGAAATGATTGCAATTCCACACATGCTAAAATAATAATGCTTTTTCCATGATGTTCTTTAAAAGGTAAAAACTGAGAAACAACAAAACCAAAGAACAGAACATGGAGTTCACCAGCTCACAAAGTACTAATAATAGAGACTTATCTTAAAGACAGAGCCACGTCTTCAAAATGAAAAGACAAGCACTAATTTGCACAGTTGGGAGTAAACTTAGCAAATATTCTTATAGAGGGCCAGAAAACAAAATGTATTCAACAATATTTGGCTAAATCCATGGATAATTATTCCATAATGGGCTATAAAAATAAAAAATCATGAAGTTGTTACATGGATCAACTAATAACCCCAGTGTCGCTACCAGAGAGAGAAAACAAAGCTGTACCTACCATGAATCTGCTGAGTGTGGCTTTTTAATGTCCTCTTAAGTATGCATATAAATGTATAAACATTTGATCTTTGACTCTAAAACTATAAAATATTTGTCACAAAAAATCCTTTTTTAAAAACTGTATTAAGGGGCGCCTGGGTGGCGCAGTCGGTTAAGCGTCCGACTTCAGCCAGGTCATGATCTCGCGGTCCGTGAGTTCGAGCCCCGCGTCAGGCTCTGGGCGGATGGCTCAGAGCCTGGAGCCTGTTTCCGATTCTGTGTCTCCCTCTCTCTCTGCCCCTCCCCCGTTCATGCTCTGTCTCTCTCTGTCCCAAAAATAAATAAATGTTGAAAAAAAAAAACACAAAAAAAAACTGTATTAAAATCATCCTTGGTTGCTAAATCTATTTTCTGCCTAAGTGTTTTTCCTCATAAAAATACACTGTTATTCTCATGAATATTTATATACTGTGCCAGTAGGTAATAAGGACTTTATGACACCTTACAGTAACCTGCTACTGTGAATATAAAACATAAAATCAATTTTGCTAATGGTGGAAAAATAATATTCGAGTCAGAGAATGAGAAAGTCAACACTAAGAAAATGTGTTTTATTGATAACAATTTGTAAGGTAATAGTAATTAACATTTCATAGTACTCAATTATAATTTATAGAATGGGGGCGCCTAGGTGTCTCAATCGGTTGAGCATCCGACTTTGGCTCAGGTTATAATCTCGAAGTTCACAAGTTCGAGCCCCTCGTCAGGCTCTGTGCTAACAGCTCAGAGCCTGGAGCCTGCTTTGGATTCTGTATCTCCCTCTCTCTCTGCCCCTCCCCCACTCACACTCTGTTTCTGTCTCAAAGATAAATAAACATTAAAAAAAATTTTTTTAGGGGCACCTGGGTGGCTCAGTTGGTTGAGCGTCCAACTTCACCTCAGGTCGTGATCTCGTGCTCTGTGAGTTCGAGCCCTGCGTCGGGCTCTGTGCTGACAGTGCAGAGCCTGGAGCCTGTTTCAGATTCTGTGTCTCCCTCTCTCTCTCTGACCCTCCCCCATTCATGCTCTGTCTCTCTCTGTCTCAAAAATAAATAAACGTTAAAAAAATTTTTTTTAAATAAAAAATAAAAAAATAAAAATTTTTTAAATATAACTTACAGAATGTAGTATTCACTACAAATAATATGCACACACAAAATATTAATACAATACTAAAAGCTAATGTGGATTACTTTTCTTAAAATGTCTGGGTCTAGATCTGAGGCTTATTTTTATTTATTTTATTAAGTAAAATAATACTAAATATTCTTTTAAGATTTTTTTGTAATTTTTTTTTGAGAGAGACAGAGAGAGAATGAGTGAGGGAGTGGCAGAGAGAGAGGGAGACAGTGAATCCAAAGGAGGCTCCAGGCTCTGGGCTGTCAGCACAAAGCCTGACACAGGGCTCTAACTCACAAACCACAAGATCGTGATGTGAGCTGAAGTTGGACGTTCAAACAAATGAGCCACTCAGGCGCCCTAAATATTAAGATTAAAACCATATATATTCGTTACTTACAGTTTTTATACATAATAAAAATGTACAGTTTGGTGATATTTTATATTAAAGAAAGGGTATGATCGAAACTTTGCAGGATTTGGAATGGACAAGTTAAGAAAGATTTTTGGAAAATAAATAATAAAAACAAAATTCTCTCAATTATATACCACTACTCTAAAATATAACCAGAGAGTCTAAAGGACCATACAGCCCACAATCACTAGCCATGAGAGGTTCTATCTGTAACACTGGAGTCAGACCACAAACGAATCTAATATTCTACAATCCCACAGGCACCCAAAACTTAAACATTTAAAAAATTAACACATGGAAAATTGAAACAACATCCGGTGAGGAACAATGATCAGTTTTATTTGTTTAACCCCAGGAAGAAATCAGTAAAGTGACAAACTGACTTTGTTATTGTTTTTTTTTAGTTTATTTAGTTATTTTAAGAGAGAGAAACAGTGCGAGGGGGGGGGGGGGGGGGTTGACAAAGAGAGACAGAGAATCCCAAGCAGGCCCCAAGCTGTCTGCACAGAGCCCAAAGCAGGGCTTGAGCTAATAAACTGTGAGATCATGACCTGAGACGTAGAGTCAGTTGCTTAACAAACTGAGCCACCCAGGCATCCCCTACCTTTGTTTTAATAATTGTCATTGCTAAAACAGCCACAGAAAATATCCTCACTTAATGTAAAAGAGGTTTGGATTTAAGACCAGTTTTATGTATACAAGATGCAATCTCATAAAAAAATGCCCTCTCTATGTGGACCTGGTCCTCATGTCAGCAATGGAAGCCTTGCCACCCCAGATCCTTAGTATCTAATGAGGACAATGAAGGGTAAGTGATTTTATACCTACTCTATACCATCAATGAATAGTGTGCATGAACACACACACATACAGACACACAAGCCTTTATGGAAACTCTTAGGTCACAGTAAAAATCTCGAGAAATAATCCCATCTAGAGAAGAGAAAAGCATCTACTCTCTGAACAAAAAGTTAATAAGTGCCTTCTAGGGACCATCATGTGAATTCAAAGTTGAGTACGAAAGAGAAAAAAAAAACAAATAGGTATTGAGTGCATATGATAAGTCAAGTGCCACACTAAAACCTTAAGTACATACATAATTAACCATAGTTCATTTTATTAACCACAGTTTATAAATGAGAAATATCAAGTTCAATGTCCTAAAAGATACTTGCCCCAGATGACACAGCTAGTAATGCATTGTGCCCTGATTCTATCCCTGGATGGCTCACTCTAAGGACTATGTCACGCCCTTAACACCATCCTGCCTTCTGTCCACAGGGAGATCACCAGTCACCTGGGAGTCAGGCTGTTAATCAGAATCATAGGGAGATGGATTCATCTTTCCTGAATTATTATCTATCATTTATAGTAATCCTGTTTAAGGGCCTTCAGTTTTGAGCTATTTCAAATGATAGACACCTTACGGGGAGAAGGAATGAATAAGAGAATCCATTAATTATACAAAGTATACATTTCAAATAATACCAACTTATAAATTAATTTATATAACATTAAATTATATATATACATATATATAAATTAATTTATATGACAGAAAGTATTTACCTGGAGCTCTGCCATGATTAATGATATTAATCTCTTTACAATATACTTTGCTATTGGCAACCAATGTGCCAAAATTAACTTCTGACTCAATTTCCAATTGACAGGCTGGAATCAACCTAGGAGAGGAGAAAAGAGGACAACATAATTAACAATTATAACTTCATACTTAAATCTACAGGGGGACATATATAGACACTTTTATAGTAATTCCTTGTAAGACATTTACATTTCCTTAAAAGTCTGTTGATGGCATATTTGTCAGTAAAAGGAACTGAAATAAAGACATGAAAACAAGATAATGAGATACATTTTTAACAAAGAGATCAGACTTTATGCATCTAAGGACATAGTACACCCTCTTAAGTACTCACCTTGAAAGGCTACCCACATATCTCAATATTTTTTGCCACTCAAAACATTTTTGGAATCTCCACCTAAGCCTATAATACATTCTTTGGCCCCTCCTCAGAAAGGGGGGGAATTGATCTTTACAAAGTAAAATAGTTCAGATGATGCCAAATCTGATGAAATAAAAGAAGGTGTTATGCTATAAAATATCATTTGGGGACTAAAACAAGATCTAAGCACAAAAAGATACAATAGATTTTTCACCTGTGTCTCTAACTAAAAGGGCTCACTGTAGCATACCTATAACACATGTTGCCTACACATTTTAAAAATCCACTGTAATTCTATATGCACATCTCACAGGGATACATATATTTTATATATGGAAAATTTATAATTTATTAACAAGTATATTATCTTGTTTGATACTAAAAACTGCATTAAAAGGAAACAAATATTATTATGGCTCCTATGTTATAGATGAAAAGCCAAACACTTCCAAAGCCTCAATGATTTATCTGAGAAATTATTTGTATATAACATTGGTGAACTTAGCCTTGATTTTGTTAGATTTTAAGTGCATTACCCTTACGAACCTAACAATGATAACAGTGCCAATAATAAATATAGTAATAACTGATCTCTACTGAGTCCTTAGGTTATGTACCAGATACATGAATTAAGTAATTTACTCCATATAGGATATAACTTCCATAATATAAATACATACAGACACATGCACAAAGACATAAGTAAGAATACCTGAATAAAACATTCACAAATACTGCTTTATGCACTGGTGGTCTGGGCCTTCTTTCTGAGATGTATGTTTATATGGGAGTGTTTGTGTATTATTGGATATATAGAGACATTCCAGAGATCAGCCAGGACTATCCTGTATATGCTGCTTCTTTAAGGAATACCCATGTTCTTCTCATGAAGACGTTGTAATTTTGTAACAGGAAAAGGGAAGATCAATGACCTCAGTGTACGTAATTGCATTAACAGAGTTTAAAGGATCTAAAAGAGGCACTCATTACACAAACAATATAAGATATGAAGGCGAACATTCGTTCAAACTATTTCTCTAGCTGGGTTCAGAAACGTATCTTAAAAATAATTTCTTGGATATGTTTTTCAATTTGAGCCTTGTCACCTTTTCCTTTTAAGAGCATGGCATCATCTTTAGTCACAATGACCTCTCCAACTTTTCCTAAGTCCTGAGGCTGAACATCTTCAAGATTCAGAGTCAACCAGTCTTCTCTGAACACTGCACCACCAGTAGCAATAGCCCTATCTTTAAGCTGGTTCTTTCTATTGTCACCAAAACCTGGAGCTTTGACGGCTACAACCTGAAGACCAACTTTTAGCCTATTCAAAACAAGTGTACTCAGAGCTTCTCCACCAACATCTTCAGCAATTATGACCAAGGGTTTAGGGTGAGCATTGGCAATTTCAAGAACAGGTACCATGGACCAGACACTAGAAATTTCCGTTTCACTCAACAGAACATAGGCATCTTGGAATTCACATTTCTGCCTTTTCGATGTATTAATAAAGTATGGAGAAATATAACCTCGATCAAACTTCATGCCTTCAATAATTTTTAATTCATCATTTAGTGTTTTTCCATCCTTTACTGTGATAACACCTTTTCTTCCAACCTTTCTCACTGTATCAGAAATGATGTTGCCAATTTCTTTGTCTCCATTTGTAGAAATGGTAGCAACCTGAGCAATTTCTCCAGGGGTCGTCACAGGTTTAGACTGCTTCTTTTTTTTTTTTTTTTTCAACGTTTATTTATTTTTGGGACAGGGAGAGACAGAGCATGAACGGAGGAGGGTCAGAGAGAGAGGGAGACAGAGAATCGGAAACAGGCTCCAGGCTCTGAGCCATCAGCCCAGAGCCTGACGCGGGGCTCGAACTCACGGACCGCAAGATCGTGACCTGGCTGAAGTCGGACGCTCAACCGACTGCGCCACCCAGGCGCCCCTAGACTGCTTCTTAAGTTCAGCAATTACAGCATCAACAGCTAACATCACACCTCTCCTGATTTCCACTGAAAAAGTATCCAAGAAATTACTGAACAGTTAGATATCAAAACTAGTGAATATGAAAAGGAAAAACTGAATAAACATCTGGCAAAACTCTCAGATGGAGTAGCTGTGCTGAAGGTTGGTGGCACAAGTGATGTTGAAGTGAATGAAAAGAAAGAGTTACAGATGTCCTCAATGCTACCCGAGCTGCTGTTGAAGAAGGCATTGTTCTGGGAGGGGGTTGTGCTCTGCTTTGGTGCATTCCAGCCTTGGATTCGATAACTCCAACTAATGAAGATGAAAAAATTGGTATATAAATCATTAAGAGAACACTCAAAATTCCTGCAATGACCATTGCTAAGAATGCAGGTGTTGAAGGATCACTGATAGTTGAGAAAATTATGTTGAGTTTCTCAGAAGTTGGTTATGATGCTATGGAGATTTTGTGAATATGGTAGAAAAGGGAATCACTGATCCAACTAAGGTCATAAGAACTGCTTTATTGGATGCTGCTGGCATGGCCTCTCTGTTAACTACAGCAGAAGTTGTAGTCACCAAAATTCCTAAGGAAGAGAAGGACCCTGGAATGGGTGGAATGGAGGTGGTATGGGAGGTGGCAATGTTCTAATTCCTAGAATAGCACTTTACCATTGTTAATGAACTGTGACAGGAAGTTCAAGGCAGTGCTCCTCAAGAATAACTTCAGAGAAGTCAGTTGAAGGAAATGAATGAAGAAAAGCCTGGCTGATGTTCAAGAAAATCACTATAACCATCAGTTACTGGGTTCAGTTGACAACATATAATGGTTTACTGCTGTCATTGTCCATGCCTACAGATAATTTATTTTGTATTTGTGAATAAAAAGACATTTGTACATTCCTGATAACTGAATGCAAGAGCCATGTACCATTGTACTGCTTTCAACTTAAATACTGAGGTATTTTTACTACTATTCTGTTAAAATGAGGATTTTAGTGCTTGCCATCACCAGATGAAAAGTTAAGAAGCAGCCTTTCTGTGGAGAGTAAGAGTAATTGTATACAAAGTAGAGAAATATCCAATTATGTGACAACCTTTGTGTAATAAAAATTTCTTTAAAGTTAAAAAATAATAATAATAATAATTTCTTAGAAGGGGGTGGCTGGGTGGCTCAGTCTGGGTGGTGTCAGCTGTGCTGACAGCTCAGAGCCTGGAGCCTGCTTTGGATTCTGTGACTCCCTCTCTCTGCCCCTCCCCTGCTTGTGCGCTGTCTCTGTCTTTCAAAAATAAATACACGTTTAAAAATTTTTTTTTAATAATAATTTCTTGGGGCACCTGGGTGGCTTAGTCGGTTAAGTGTCCAACTTCGGCTTAGGTAGATCTCAGGGCTCATTGAGTTTGAGCCCTGCAATGGGCTCTCTGCTGTCAGCACAGAGTCTGCCTCAGATCCTCTGTCCTACTCTCTCTCTGCCCCTCCCCTGCTCTCGTGCACACTTGCTCTCTCTCAACAATAAACAAACATTTAAAAAAATAAAATTTCTTAAGAGTCTACTCACACACGTACACACATATGTACACATACACATATATACATTATATATATATATAAATTATACACACGTATGTATGCACACATATATATGGGTTACCTTAGTAGTAAGGGCTTGGTAATAGAGTAATATAATACATAACAGTTTTTCTGGCTTTCCTATTGGTTTCTCTTCCACCTGACTAAGAAAAGTATTTGCAATAACATTTTTCTTTTTATGTTACAGACAGTTTATGTTAACAAACAGGAGAATGGTAGTTACCAGGAGCTGGGGGTGGGAAAATTGGTAAGTGGTTGGTCAAAATATGCACTTAGAAGATGAATTAGTTCTGAAGATCTCATGCCCAGCCTTGTGATTAGAGTTAACAACACTGCATTATGTATTTGAAAGCTGCTAAGAGACGATATCTTAAATGTTCTCACAACAAAATGAAATGATAATTATGTGATCTGATGGAGGTGTTAGCTAACACCACACTAGTAATCACATTGCAATATATAAATGCACCAAATCAACACCGTGTACAGCTTAAACTTACACAAAGTTCTTTATCAATTATATCTCAATTTTAAAAAAGGAAAAAAATGAAGTACCAAACTTGGTAATTTATATATGGAGTTAAATTTATAGTAATATAATTCATAAGAAATTCTAAAAACATGTATGGATTTATGATTGGAGTAAATCTACTTATATACATATTTGTAAACATACTGAACAAATAATACATTAGGATATGATGCTATAGTTAGAAATGGAATGAAAATACAAATCTGAGGGGAAAAAAAGATGAGGTAAATCTTTCAACTGTTAAATTACTATGGTATTTCCACTCTACTGGATACATTTGAAAGAAGCATGTAATTATAGTAATATTTGTTATGTGTAAGTGATTACATCTTTGCAACTATTCAAGCTCATGACTAAAACTCTCAGCCATTTTTAAATGTGCAAGAGGGATGAAAAAACAAGTGCTCACAATCACTGATTATATCATTTCTGCTAAAGTACTTCTGAAAGGGCAGAGAATCCAAACTTCTGGTTTCCAGACAAGATTTCATAAATCTATTTTTCCATATTCGTCCCCACTAAATGCAACTATAAACTCTAGAAATGGTGCAAGAGACAAGCAAAGAATGTTCATAGCAGCTGTATTTGTAATGTATCATGGCATCTGCCTGATATCCTTCATCAGGCCAAAGGTTAAACAAACTGTGGTATACGCATACCATGGAAGACATGACATGACAAAATTTTAGAAATGGAAGACAGATTACTGGTTTGAACAGTTCAGGGATTGTAGGTGTGAAGCAGAAGGAAGGTGGGTATGGGTATAAAAAAGTAACAGGAGATGGGCGCCTGAGTGGCCCAGTAGGTTAAGCAACCGACTCTTGATTTTGGCTCAGGTCATGATCTCACAGTTAGTGGGATGGAGCCCCACATCAGGCTCTGTGCTGACAGTGCAGAGCCTGCTTGGGATTCTCTTTCCCTCTCTGCCTCTTCCCACCCTATCACTCTCAAAAAATAAATAAATAACCTTTTTTTTTAAAAAAAGTAACAGGAGAAATCCTTGTCGTATTACCAGTGCTGAATATCTGGACTATGGTGGTGGATATAAAAACCTATACAGGTAATAGAATTGTATAGAACTTAAAAACTTAAAAACATAACACACACATACACACACACAGATACACACACGCCCATCCTCCTTCAGCCCTTTCCATCATAGTTTAAGGGGACAGTGTTTTCCTTATGCTGTAGCTGTGATGAGCAGCCAAACTCAGATGAGAGAGAGCATACATTACGAGGACAAGACAAAATTCCTGTTTTCAAAGGCAGAAGCATCTTCAACTCTTTTCTCCCTATATAGTACAAGCAAGCAAATCTCACTGAAACTCATAGTTACATCAATGTGCAGAATGGGCCAAAAATGGCCTTACCTAAAATAAATTATAAAATGTAAAGTAAGTATTTTTAATAGGCTAATAACATTCCTTTCCTGACAATGTGTTAACTGATTTCTATACAGAACGCGATGCTTGGCTAAATCAGAACTTCTCAACAACATGGAGAACTAAAATAACTGCAGATCTAAATTTGGTTTATGAAAATAAAAAAACACACAAGGGAACTTATAAAAAGACATATCTAATGCCAGTATTAACATTCCAATATTAATTCTACAGATGGTAGACAAATAGAGACAAAAGAATGACATCTATGGAAGCACATTTTGCTAAGGAAAAGGAGGATCCACACATGCATGTCTATCAATTAAAAAAATACTTTAAGGGGCGCCTGGGTGGCTCAGTAGATTAAGCATCCGACTTGGGCTCAGGTCATGATCTCACAGTTTGTGCGTTCAAGCCCAGCATCAGGCTCTGTGCCGACAGCCCAGAGCCTGGAGCCTGCTTTGGATTCTGTGTCTCCCTCTCTCTCTGCCCTCCCCTGCTTGTGCTCTGTCTCTCTCTCAATCTCTCTCTCAAAAATAAATATACATTAAAAAAATTATAAGTTAACTCTTAAATACAGAGGACAAACTGAGGGCTGCTGGAGGGGTTTTGGGTGGGGGGATGGGCTAAATGGGCACGGGGCGTTAAGGAGACTTCTTGGGAGGAGCATTGGAAATTATACACAAGTGATGAATCACTAAATTCTATTCCTGAAATCATTAGTATACCATATGTTAATCTACTTAGATGTAAATTTTTAAAAATTATAATAATAAATAAAATATAAAAAAAATTTTACTCTCAAAAGGTATAAAAAAAAACACGGTCAAAATAAAACAGGATGTAAGTCAAGGGAAAAAGAGGGAATACATGCAATTGTTGAACGTTTTTATTTTAATTAAAAATACCAGAAAACCAGCCTTCCATTTTTTGAACACCCATTTGCTAAAAATCTGACCATTAAGTTCAGCTATAAGGACACTATAGATACAAAAAGGAATCTTAGCCAGAGAAAATACAGAATATTATATTACTTTGACCCTTATTTTTATGTGAAGAGTGCTGAAAATGTCAGCATGAAATATGGAGAATACGTACCCAAGTAGAGGGATCTCTATTATTTTATTTCCTATTGAAATAAGTAGTTGGTCATAAGTGTCTTCATCCTTATCAGGATGGTATTCCACCATAGCTGTCATCTGAAGTCCAGAAGCAAGTGCTTTATCCAGATTGGTCAAAATCAGTTTGAACTTCATGGGGAGAAAAAAAAAAAATCAAATTATACATCTTAACTCCTAATAAGGAAATAATGTGAGCTACGGTAGCTAGAAGTGTCCATTAGTTCAAGAGCTGTATCAGGATATAAGCAATATTCCTTCCCTGAAAGCAAACACTTAATGACTGTGTGTGTGTGTGTATATATATACACACACACACACATATATATATCAGATTCTAGACCCTCCAGATACGCTTTTTTTTTTTTAATGTTTATTTTTGAGAGAAACAGATGCTAACAGGGAAAGGGCAGAGAGAGAGGAAGACAAAGAATCCAAAGCAGGCTCCAGGCTCTGAGCTATCAGCACAGAACCTGACGTGGGTCTTGAACCCACGAACAGTGAGATCATGACCTGAGACAAAGCCAGACGCCTATTGAGCAACCCAGGCACCCCTCCAGGTATGCTTTTAACAGTACATGGACTAAAACTGACAATGTAGTCAGTTGAGAAACATGTAAATGCTCACAAGCTCATTTAGAAGTATGAGGTACTTCAATACAGAACAAAGGGAGAGCAATCTAATAATAATTATCTATTATTAAATAATAGATAATCTAATAATCTTAAACACATACATTTATCATTTTATATACTTTTTGTATGGGGACTTAGAATTCAGAACTTGGAGCAAATATAAAAAAGGAATAGGATACGAGGGGAAGAAAAACCACTTTCATTCTTGTAAAACATTTGCTAGACTCCAGGACAAATATGAAGGGAGAAAGTGAAGGAGAGAATTACTATGTGTTGGAGACCCACAATAAGTCAAGCATTCTACATCTCTTATCTCACATAAGACAGTTCTACAGTCCTATAAGGCTGATGTTAAGGCTCCCAGAATATAGATGAGTAAACTGGGACTTGGAGAGCATAATTAACGTCTAAGGTCACTCTAACAGGATTCAAATCACACATCCATGTGACTCTGAAATATAAGCTCCTTCCCCATAAGTGGAAAAAGTCCCTCTCCTGAGTACATAATCTCTTCAAGGAAGCAGACTATACACCCCTAGAAAGTTAAATAATACAAGTCAAGAACTAATTAAGTGTCTTATGAGTACTGGAGACATAGGGATCACAAAAGTCCATGAGAAAGCATGATTACCATTGGGCTAGAAAGGAGTGTACTTGGCCTAAGCTTAAAGAATGGATGTAAAAGGTGGAGAACAAGCAAGTAAGGTGCTCCCTATGGGGAAGGAATATCTCGGACATAAGCCAAGAAAAGAATAAGCAGAACAGTCTTTCAGCAGGCAACTAATAAGCTAGCCTTGCTGGGCAAAGAGCTCAACCCGTAACGATGGAGGTCATGTTGAAATTAATTATTCAGGGCTTTTCAAGCCAGGCTAAATCTAAGCAGTACTTTCCAGCAACGAAGGGCACAGAGCAGTGGAGTGATTTGTTGATACCAGTGGTCTGAAAGCTTCATACTTCCAGCAAACTTCTGATACCTCAAAACTATCACAGTTCAACTCTGAATCCCCCTGCAATTACAGAACAGTAAGAAAACAAGGGATAGATTTTTCCCTGCATAAGCCTTTGGGTGTTACAAGTGCATGTATCAGATGTGACTATCTTCCTTTAAAGAAGCTGTATCTTGGAGAAAGGAAACCATGGCTTCAGCAGCATGTGCTTTTGGTCAAACTACAAGTTGCTGAGCCCTGTGAATGGTATACAAAGGTGTATAAGGCACCACCCTTACTCAGGAGCTGACGGATGGTAAAACTAACATTTACTAGGAGTCATCAGGACACAAGTCCAAACTATAATCAATGCCTGATAACTGGTATCCAGCAGGGAAGAAATAACCTGGAGATAATATGATAAGACTTACAGAGAAAAAGAGAACTCAATTTGTCCCTTAAAGATGGGTGGGATTTGGAAACACGTGATTCTTGCAGGAGGTGGGAATGAAAAACACGGGTCAAAAGAAAAGGGAGTCTGAGCCATGGAGGTAAAAGGGGACAATTCCAAGTAAGACTGGCCTGACTGATGCAGAAGCCACACAAGTTAACAAAACACTAAAGATAAGGACTGTGTCTTCTTCATTTTCTACCAGCAACCCACAGTAGATGGCATATAGTACTACATATGGTTCATAATAGGTCATCAACACAAAGATAATGCAGCCTCTTGAGCCAGGGTTGCAAACCAGTACTACTCTATGTTAGAAGCATCATTTTGTAAGTAATTATAAATGGTGATGATGACAATCTTCTTTATACAGCACTTTTTTCTTTTCTCCAAGATAGTTAATACATTTTTTTCTAATCTATCTTCTTCCTAATTCCCTTTATATCTATGAAGGATCAGGAGAGCACACCATGGTCTTGCAACAAAGAGAAGTTCACACTAATACTGGGCTCACGGCTTTGGCCTCTAACTGGTAAGCTTACCTGGCCATTCTCTTGTGTCCAGATTTGTGGTCTAAATAGTTTTCCTTCTTAACTCTTGATACAAACTAAAATGAATTATATCATTTATCTCCTGACTGCACAAAAACCACCCATATAAGTGTCTCCTGGACATCCATAAAATAGTGTTTGCCCACATCTGGGATTTACTGCCAGCCTGAATTTTAGAAGAAAAGTATTTTCAGGTATACATTCAATTGCTCAATAAATATGTAGTGACGTAGTGAAATTATAAAATTTTTCCCTTATTTTACAGTATTTGGAGTAATCAGGTCATTTTTTTTTATTTTTTTTTCAACGTTTATTTATTTTTGGGACAGAGAGAGACAGAGCATGAACGGGGGAGGGGCAGAGAGAGAGGGAGACACAGAATCGGAAACAGGCTCCAGGCTCTGAGCCATCAGGCCAGAGCCTGACGCGGGGCTCGAACTCGCGGACCGCGAGATCATGACCTGGCTGAAGTCGGACGCTTAACCGACTGCGCCACCCAGGCGCCCCAATCAGGTCATTTTTTATTTAAAAAAGAGTTAATAGCCTCTCACGATATTCCATTTTATTACAAAATACATGTTACTATTGTTAAAACATTCAAATACAAAAATGAACAAAGCAGGATTCCATTTATATGAAACTCAAAAACAAGCAAAACTAATCTGTGGTGTTAGAAATCACTACAGTGGTCACCTCCATGGAGTGATTACTCCAGGTACTGCAAGGAACCTTCTAGAATGCTGGAAATGGAAATTCTACGATTTGACCCAAATGGTGGCTACATGGGTGTATAAACACATAAAAATTCATCAAGCTTTACTTTCGAGATTTGTGCACTTTAGTGTAGGTAAAAAGTACAATTTTTTTTAAGTGTAAAAAGTAGAACATGAAAGTCCTTTTTCTCATTATCCTTCTACTCGCTACCGTACATTTTTCTATGTATATACAAATAGATGTAATTTTAACAACAACAAAAAATCGTAAATACCTTTCCATTTCTGTACCTAGAAATCCAGGTGCATTCAATACTACTTATCGTTAAGAATGTCCCACAAAAAAAAAAAATACTAATAAGGTTATTTATCACTTACATATCAAAAATTCTTACCACCTTTCCTATATCAAAAGTCTCCCTGACAGCAAACTAATATTCATCCTCTCACACACATGATCTGAAATGACAGCGAGATTGAAATAGAATTCTGTCAACTTTGGGGGCCTGGAAGGTTCAGCTGGTTAAGCATCCGACTTCGGCTCAGGTCATGATTTCGCAGTTAGCAAGTTCGAGCCCCCAGCTAGGGCTCTGTGCTGACAGCTCGGAGCTTGGAGGCTGCTTCAGATTCTGCGTCTCCCTCTCTCTCTGCCCCTTCCCCGCTCACACTCTGTTTCTCTCTCCCTGTCTCAAAAATAATAAACATTAAAACATGTTTTAATTTAAAAAAAGAATTCTGTCAACTTCTAAGTCAGAAGATTGGAGACGGCCTCTCGGAACATTAATTTTACTCATGATCTTTACTGACTCCCCCAGTTTCTAAGTCCTGTAAGGGTAGGGTTGTGTTCATTTTAGATTCCTCACACCTACAGCCTATTATACAGTAGGTGCTCAACAAATGTTTGTTGGAACATGAAATAATAAACCTTTCCACTATCCTACTGTATCTAGAGTAATCAGGCACTTTATGACTAAAGGGTACTTTAGAGAATTTTGTTGATGTAATTCTACAGTATACAAGCACAAATTCTGGGGTTAGGAGACAGACATGGAACCCCCTTTCCCTTCTTTCCAAACCAAGATGAAGAAGTTGGGAGGTTCTAGATCAACTTTTCCCCACTGTGTCTCCGTAACCAAACAAAAAGTAAAAACAAACAAACAAAAAAAAAACAAAACAAAACGGCTAGCACGCGTATGCACTGAGACCTAAATGGCCGCTCCCTGGGAAGCTCAATCCTGCCCCCCCCTCCCCCCCACCCCGCCACACTCCCGCAGAAGCCGGCGTCTACTCTCCGGGACAAAGCAGGCGCCCAGATGGGGAGGCGGTCTCAGAGCCCTGACGCTCGGGAGGTCCTGCTCCTGCACCCCCGAGGGTGTTACCTGTGGCTTGAGTGGTTCCTTAAACCGGATTTTCTGGTTGCAACGGCCGAGGTTGTGTACGGTAACCGGCAGGCGGTACACCCTCCCGGCCAGCGTGTCCAGGAACTTCACCTCCGAAGGGGTCACCCGCAGCTGCACCTCCTTCTTTGGGGTCTCCACGTCCCGGGAGATGAAGGAGCCCCTCTCAGTCTCCATGGCGGCCTTGTAGGTAGCCTGCGAACAGTAGCTGACTTGATTTACAGAGGGCTAGCGTGGACGCCGTCGCTAGGCAACCGACAGACGCCGCACGCTCGCCTCAAGCTCCACCCTCATTGGCTCAGCCCAAACTTTGTGCGTTGGCTTATAGAATGCAGGCACGTGGGGAAGGAAAGAACCCAGGGGTCGCAAGTGTCACCAGAGAAGCTGGAAAACGTTCTGTGACAGCCCAAATCTCACTTCGTTCTGGCCTGTCAGGATTTTAAGATGGCATTGGCAGGGTGGGGTAATTTTCCCGGACCTCTCTTAAGACTAAACTTAAAGAGCAAAGGAAGTGATGTGCCCGCCAAGTCAATTAAAGCAGCAAAACTAACAGTTAACAGAGGAATTCAATGGAAGCAGAGTCAGGACCCCCTGGGTGCCCTGCTCACTGGCCTTTAGGCTATCGTTTCTCAAAAGGTAATAGCAAGCCTCTAGATCTTTTGTTAAAATGCAGATTCTGTTTCAGTAGATCTGGGGCGGGGCCTAAGATGCTGTATTTGTAGCAAGGTCCCAGGTGATTCCAATGCTGCTGCAGGTCCTGGGACCACACACCGAGTATAGAAGCTTTAGAAGTTTTGTTAATTACTCCAGGTGTTAAGTTTCTTCATTTGTGAAACCAAGGGGCTGCTCAAAAGGTTGAGATCAAACCTCTTATCTAGCTAGATGAGCACCCTCCCAACAGTCCTAGATTCACACTGCCCAATCATTAACTTCATCCTTGATCTGCTGTGATGGTCTTAGGGTTTCAAAACATAGTAGGTTAGTGGCATTTCCCTGCCTTAAATCTGCTTCTTACCACTTTACAACAAGCTGCTTTCTACGGACTTTTATTAATTTGGAGTCAAGCTCTACAGATATATCCATATACTGTGTAATTATATATATAATACTTACGTTGAGGGGCTCCTGGGTGGCTCAGTCAGTTAAGCGTCCAACTTTGGCTCAGGTAGTGATCTCCTGATTCATGGGTTCCAGCCCTGCCTCAGGTTCTGTGCTGACAGCTCAGAGTCTGGAGCCTGCTTCGGATTCTGTGTCTCCCTCACAATCTGCCCCTCCCCTGCTTGCACTCTCTTTCTCTCTCTCAAAAATAAGTAAACATTAAAAAAAAATTGTTTTTGAAAAGTAAAGAAAAAAGAGTCTGAATGCAGACCAGGAAAACCTATTATAGTGCTTAGAGTAACGACTTAGAAACAAGATCTATTGAGGTGGCTCAGTTGGTTAAGCCTCTGACTCTTGATCTCGGCTCACTCACTGATCTCACCGTGCATGAGATCAAGCCCAGAGTTGGGCTCTGCGCTAACAACATGGAGCCTGCTTGGGATTCTCTCTCCCTCTCGCTCTCTGCCCCTCCCCCACTCACTGTCTTTCTCTCTCTCTCTCAATAAATAGGTACACATTCTTAAAACAGACAAAAAAAAAAAGAAACAAAGAAATAAGCTATTGAAAGAAAATAAACAGAACTTCTCTGAACACAGGAGTGTTAAAAGTGTAGCAACTGATGTGTTTCAAGAATAATTTGAAAGTGGGTACTATATAATGAAATTCACGAAAGTTACATATGATGAAAATTTCATCCAGATGATGAAAAGCCACACCAATGAGAATAAAGTGATGGCACTAAGGCCCAATAAAGTAGAACTGCATGACTTGGATGACCATGACTAGGACCAAGAATTCTTGTCCCCTTCAAGGTGCACCCAGCTAGACTAAAAATCAAATTGACAAGAGACAAATTAACACGAGAAAATCAAATTTAAAGCATACATATGGGGAACCCACCCAGACATGAAAATTCCAAAGACAATCCGGCAAAATGAGGTGTAATATCATCCTGAACTGAGGAATGGGGGTAGGGTCCTGGGACTTCAAAGGGAAGGAATGCACCTCACCAGGTGGTAAGTAAAGCAGATGTTTAGAAATACATGTTTCTCCTGCCATGTATATAGATGGATCACTCAGATAAAATTTATCTCTGCTCATAACCATTATTCTGAGAAAAACCTTCCATTTAGATTCTCTATGTCACTAAGAGAGGGGCAAAAGTTTCCCTTGAGCTCCTAAGGTCTCAATTACCTTCAGCTCAAAATAATGTTCAGGCCAAAGTGGCTGTCATGGGCAGCCTGCCCTCAGACCCTACAGTTTCTTACTCTGAAACTTACCTCAAGTTTCACACATTAGAAGTTAAGCTGGTAGGTTGTTTCATCTCAAATAAGTCAATTTGGTCACACTTATTTCAGGAGGCAGTGATGCAGGTATATTCTGAAAGGTAGGCCCATGGTGCAAGTAATCAGGTATTAAATAAGATGTGTTTCTGTGGAAACAAAAGAAAAATACTGGTTACTGATTGGATCAAATGCTAAGTCACTTTCTGGGTTCTGAGGGTAGCCAGTTGAGAAGATGCCTAGACGTCAGATTCAAAGCATCTTCAGTAGAGTGAGGACAGGTAGTAGAAATCTCACAGATCTTCCTAGTTTGCAGTTGAAATGTCTCTGGTGTATTCTGAATGGCCCTCTGAGCAATAAACACGAAGATTGTCTATATATGAACTATTGTGGCAATTTCTCTGAAGTTTATATCAAGTCATTTATATTTAGTTTGCAGGGCTTCAGGAAAAAAGGCAGTTTTAGTTCTCAAATGATTCTAAGTCAGAAAAATGGGAGCAAAGCCAAAATGTTAGTTTGGAGAGTTCTGGCCAGGCACTGGAGGACACTAGAAGAAATCAGGATCTAGCCCACTTTATAATAAATAGTTTTAAATCTACAAAGGTATATTGTTGAAACATATTTTCTCTCTACAAATCACCCTCATTTTTACCAAAGCCAGCCAAATTAACATTGTTTGCAAAATAAGTCTAGTTGCAAAAAATTGGCCTGATTATTTACATAAGTCCAGTAAGAATAGTGGTTCACCGTACAGGCTTTTTAAAACCTTTGTTGCTGGAACTTTTCATAAGGAATCTCTAGAGTGAACTTTTAACGGATTCTCGAGGCTGAAAGCCAAGCTAAATATTTGCCATCAGACTTCACCTGCAATACCTATGGATTTGGGTAGATTCCTCTCTTTTGGAAGTCCCCAAAGTATCCTGAGGTTCCCACACCTGCCAGGAAGTGTCTTTCTTTACTCACTGGGTAAGGCTGCTGGGAATTTTGTAAACAAGGTATCAGGCTAAGATTTCCAAGGGGTTTCATTGACATCATAAAGTAAAGAAGCTGTCTGGTCATATCTGAGTCTATACATGTCTTTCTTAGATAAGACATTCCAGTCAAAGCCTTGGTGAAATAACCTGTGTTTCCAATTGTTCCCTGTTACAAGGAGAACAGATTCTTGCAACGCCTGGGTGGCTCAGTGGGTTGAACATCTGACTCTTGGTTTTGGCTCAGGTCATGATCTCACAGTTGTTGGGTTTCAGCCCTGCATCGGGCTCTACAGCTAACAGTGCACAGCCTGCTTGGGATTCTCTTTCTTTCTCTCTCTCTCCCCCTCCTTTCCTCTCCCTCTCCCCCTCTGTCTCTGTCCCTCCCCCATTTACCCTGTCTCTGTGTCTCTCAAAATAAATAAACTTTAAAAATACATATTTTAATAAAATAAAATAAAAATATATATCAAAATATATTTTAACCAAATAAAATAAATAAGTTCCATGTTGAATTTATGCAAATAAACATATTGCCATAAAAATATAAGAATACTCACTGAGAGTTTCTGAATTCTGGAGGGTTCGGGTAGGGAAAAATATAAATGTTTCAGTTTGTTCAAAAAGGTATATTTTGTCAAATTGCTCTAAGTCAGCTTAAGAGAAAACATTTTCTTAAATCTGGATAAAATAAAACATTTTTAAAGAGTCAGCAATGTTTCAAAGAAAAAGTCATAAAAAGTATAATTATCTTCCTCAGTTTATTCAGTCCCATGTTATTATTTCTGGTTCTGCTTGAATCTAATTTTTCTACTACCTCCAAAAGTTTTTACCTAGTTCAGTTTTATGATCTTAAGGTTATCAGAAGCCTTTACTCAATTTTTTCCTTAGGTCTCACAAAAGATGAAGCACATGTGCAAGAAACTTTTATAGAGGCATGTAAGTACAAGTACAACTGTCTATAAATGATAAAAGACTTAAAAATGGCCATGGTTAAAGATCTGATTAGAGTTCTTTGCAATGCAATTGAAAAGGAAATTTGGTTATTTTTGTGACACATAGTACTTCAAGATAATAATATACCAAGACATCAGATTGCTAGAAGTTTCATATAATTCTTAGAAGATTTGTGGGGTTTTTTAATGTTTTATTTACTTTTGAGAGAGAAAGCACGAGAAGGGGAAGGGCAGAGAGAGACAGGGACAGAGGATCTGAAGTGGGTTCCTCCCTGACAGCAACAAGCCCGACGTGAGACTCAAACTCACAAAATGAACCATGAGATCATGACCTGAACTGAAGTCGGACGCTCAACCAACTGAGCCACCCAGGAGCCCCAAAAAACCGGCTTTAATAACATATCTACATAAATATAATCACTTATTAGACAATGTTTCCTGTGTAATCTAACATACCCAATAAGCCTACTTGGTTTAATTTCTCACATTTTTAATTTTTTTAAAAGGTTTATTTATTTTTGAGAGACAGACAGACAGACCTCGAGCAGGGGAGTGGCAAAGAGACAGGGAGACACAGAATCAGAAGCAGGCTCCAGGCTCTGAGCTGTCAGCACAGAACCCAGTGCGGGGCTTGAACTCAGGGGCTTTTGAGCCGTGAGATCATGACCTGAGCCGAAGTCGTCCACTTAACCAACTGAGCCACCCAAGTGCTCCACATTTTTTTTTTTTTTTTAATCTTCCAGTGGCCCACTGGAAACTTTCAGTTAGATTGTGGTCAAAAGACTTTATTTTATAATTTAATTTTGGGAAGTATGTGAAAAAAATATCAAAAATTTTGAACATTTGATTGAATAGGATCACAAATCATTATGAACCAATATTTCATTATCCATTTAACCAAAGAGACAATAAAAGATATCAAAGGCAAA